CCGGGCTGCGACTGCCTTCGCATTGCACGTCGTTAAAGTCGTTGCTGATGAAGACCTCTACGCAGTTTTTCCGGCCACCCGCGTTGTCCGGTTGTCTCGGAAGCCAGGTCACCTTTGCCAGCATCCCGTCGCTGGTGACGAAGCTGCCATCGGTAACCAGGTCGTCCATCCCGACGAGAAAAAACAGGTGCCCTGCGGCGAAGCAGAGTTGAGTGTACGATTTGGTGTCCAAAGAAGCGTTCAAAGGTACTTCTCTCTCAGATGCGTCCCTATTTTCGTCAACCTGTTGGCCAGGCCCAGTGTTAGCCGCAGCGCCGACGCTGTGTGGCCTAGGAGACTGCAGCACCTGGTGTCGAGTTTGGCGTTTCCTGAGACGTGCGAGCGCGCATGCTCAAAACTACGTTGCATAACGTGTACCACAAACAATTTTCTGACTAACATGACCTGGCCATGTTAATGTATGTTGTTGACCCATTTTGATCTTCAATCTACATTCGGCGGAATTCTTGCTTTTTTCTAAATAACCCCAGACAGACATTCTGACAAAAACTCCTGAGGGCTATCGGTTTAAAAAGCATCCAGTGGACCGTTGTAAAAATGAAGAGCGCCGGCTATTAATTTCATGCAGCAATTGAACGCGTGATTTTGCCGATTAAGACAGAACTGATCTCGCGGTTGCGTCTGGGCCTGTATTCCAGTGATAAAAGGCCAAATGTGTAATATATATATATATATATATATATATATATATATATAATATACATATGTGTGTGTGTTTTGCGTGTAGTGTGTGTGGTAAGCATGTATGTAATGTTTGTATATACATGCAATATTAAATGTGTCCTCCTAAACAACTGAGACATATCTGACGATTTTTCGGTGGGGGGGGGGCGGGGCCTTCTACGATAAGGGGGCCCTTGTCAACCCTGTGCACCCCCCCCCCCCCTTGCGAAGGCTCTGGCTGTGCCCCCTGGTCAGAGGAGAGCGACAGCAAAGATGCTAGCTGTAAAATGTGCTGTCATTTTTATAGGGTTTTAAAACTGGGTAAGTCGATTTAGACATTATTTAGGTGTGTCCCATATTTGTATGGGAGTTTGAACTGAAATAGCCATCTTGAAGATCGTTCGGTGCAGTTCACACACAGCCCTAGGCCAAATGTTCAGACTATTTCGGTGACTTTCGTCAAAGTCACCCTGACATTCATGACGCCAAAATATCGTCATTCAGATTTTGTCATTTCAGCACTGGTCACGCGGTGATCACCGCCAAGAGAAGTATATCGTCCAGTCGTTGATATCTGACGTTCGTGAGCACGAGTTCAGGTATGAGACAGCCGTCAATGTGCTCGCAGCCAACTGTGCAAGTTGTGTAAGTGCATTTGCGAGAAAACATTATGCACACAGCTAAGACAGTAGTAAAAAGCCATTTTTCCTCGTGGAAAAACCAGGAGAATGGAGGCATAGAGGCGTTGATAGTTTGGTAACATGCCTTAGCCGAATCAAATAGCAAAAGTGTTATTCATTTTGACAAAAGCCTGTTACCAAAATATCAACGTATTTATGTCTCCATTCTCCTGGTTTTTCTACGAAGAATAAGACTCTTACCAACTGTCTTCACCATTTTGTGTGAAGTACTATGACACCATCAAACATTGTTGCACTTAGGAGCATTAACGAAATTGCGTTGTGTGTAGAGCAGTCCTTCCCCCACTTAAAAGTATGCCAATAATTTATTTCGACATTATTGGACTTCTCTTCAACTCGATGAGCCCATTCCATTATAATTGATATTTTCTTCAACATTTTTAAATGGCGAACATTCCCGTAAATGCAGATCACAGCCATGCCCTTTTTGAGGTCTAAGACCCCCCTTGGTTTTAGCCTAATGCCAACGAACTTGTGCAGCCTATTTCGTGCACAGCATTGCCAGGTCATCCAGGCTTGCATGACGCCATAGAAACATCATATGAATGCTAACACCTAATTGGTCACGTAACGCTCCAAGGCCAGAACATATGACCGTCGAATTAATCGTGTGTAGCGTACGTCATCACGATTTTTGACACCAACCAGACTTAGTTGGTTTTCATCCGATGTAATACGTTCAATGCAAGTACCTAACACCAAACGCGTTAAGTCCCGAGTAATGCAGCAGTTTTGGCATTGGTACTAGTTATGACCAAAATGGGACGGGATCGAATAGGTTAAGCATAAACATTCAACACCACTAGATTAAAAACACCGCTACCTCGGCAACAACCGTGCTAAATTATATGCGGACGCATGCAGTTGAGGAAGGGGCAGCAGCTTAAATGCTATAAACTCGCAGGTAAACTGCAAGAACTGAAGTAAACCGGGCGAGTTACGGGCAATGTAGCCCGACGTTCTCTTTAGTGAAACGTACGCGTTCATCAGGAGTCGTTATTTAATAGGAAGAAGTGCGGCCAGCCGGAAATTGAGCTTTGAAGCTTTGAAAAATGAGCGTAATTCTTGGTGTCCGGTAATAGAGAGAATGCGACATAGTGGGCGTGGCAGCAGCTATGCTAAATTTCACAAGCAGATCTTTGAAGAGTGACTACCGTTCCGGCAGCTGTGTCATACCAAAGAGACATTTCAGGTCTCGCCCACACCACCTACCATAGCTGAGTGACAACGCGGCCCTTCGGAGCTAACGCAGCGCAAAGATGAGGCTTGAGGCACTGGGAGACACTGCGGGTGGAAGAGGTGGAGACAAGGTTGCGGGTGGAAGAGGTGGAGACAAGGCTGCGGGTGGAAGAGGTGGAGACAAGGTTGCGGGTGGAAGAGGTAGAGACAAGGCTGCGGGTGGAAGAGGTGGAGACAAGGTTGTAGGTGGAAGAGGTGGAGACAAGGTTGTGGGTGGAAGAGGTGGAGACAAGGTTGCGGGTAAAAGAGGCTGGAGACAACGTTGCGGGTGGCAGAGGTGGAGACAACGTTGCGGGTGGAAGAGGTGGAGACAAGGTTGCGGGTGGAAGAGAGCCGCACCAAGTACAAGCCAGCCCGAAATGCAGCCATGATCCCCTTGACGAAGGCTCAGCCAGGATCCCCACGTTATCAGCCGGCAAACAAAGACCAGTGCAGTTGATGGAGCATCTGAAAGAAGTGCATCATGACATCCCGCTTCGCCGCCCCATTCGCATCAGGCGCGGCGGCCAACGCGGGTCTGACGGAGCTCAACCAGATCCTCGTCACGGGGGAGCCCGTGTGGAGGCGGAAATAAACGGAGCAGGGGCAGGAGCAGCAGGAGCGCTCCATGCCTACTCATCACCTGCGTCGTCTGCAACGCTCATGTCTACTCATGTCTACTCGTGTCTACTCGTGTCTACTCGTGTCTACTCATGCATACTCACAGTTTGCGCTGCCGGTTTCAGTATGAGGCCAACAAACCTTCCGGGGCTCTCTTAAGCCTTTAGCGACATGAAAGAACACCAGCGTGAGTGGTATCGATGGGGCTTGCCTGCTATGGACACCCCGCTGCTGCGACGCCGCTGGACCCGTATTTTGGCATAATGCCAACTCATCTGTCGCGAGCGGACTATTCCCGATACGGTGGAAACCTGCGCACCTAGTGGCTCCCTTTAAAGGCGGTGATCG